CTTGTTCCATAACCATAGCGAGCTCCTATAAATAAGATCCTACTCCACTGGTTTCAAATAGAATAGGATCTTAGTTATAAGACAAAAAACAAAACACTATATACACCTGTTTTAACCGAAACTGGTCTTTTCAAAGCGCCAGATCTGAAACACTTAGCGGTAGTCAGGTTGGTCATTTATTTTTCCTTTCGGAGGCTCTTAAAACGTCCCAACAACCATCTAAAATAAAAAAAAAGACCTTCCCAACAACTATCTAAGAACTCCCCAAAAACTATCTAAAAACGCCCCAACAAACACCTAAAAAATACCAAACAGCCAAACCTTCACAGGCACTCATAAAATCCTGGTCTTTTGCCGTCACCCATTTGTTCAAGTTCTCTAAGTAAGTTATTCTAGGTCTACCTTTCCCTCTTTCTGCCTTCTGTGTTGCCAGTGAGAGCAAGATGATCAAGGCCTCTATACCGATTCAAGTGTCCTTTTGCTTGTCCCTTCGTTATTGCCTTTTCTGTTCCTTCCATGAACCTTGCACTAGTCTTATGATAAACCACATTTCCGTTGCCTATAGTTTATTTTCGCTTTCTCTATCAATTAGCTACCTCATAATTACAAAGTATTATCTACACAGTACCTTGTTCTGAGAAATTTGACGTAAAAAATTTTGAGTTTCACATCATGTCAAGCTTTATCGAATGCAATTCTTTGAATATCTTGATAACAACTCTGAATATTCTGACGATTTTGATAGAGCAGATAGAACTGGCTTCCCATCTCATGGTCATAGTAACTCAAAACGGCCAGAAATGTCAGATAAAACTTTGTAATGCTATGGTAGCGAATTGTCCAGCTTTGCAAGCCGCACAGAAGTCAAGAGCAGAAATATCAAGTGGGAACAGATTGAAGCACAAAGTTAAGATAAGATAAAACAAGATAAGATAAGATAAGATAAGATAAGAGAAAGATTAAAGAAAAGATAAAGAGATAAGATAAGATAAAGAGATAAGATAAGATAAGATAAGATAAGATAAGATAAGATAAGATAAGATAAGATAAGATAAGATAAGA